CCTTTGGTTACCAGGATAATAGAAGGAAGAAACAATTCTGCAGAATTTTTTTTTCCTTTTCCATGGAACGATTCTATAGTGTACCTTAATAAAATGGTGATTTGGGTAGTGCATAGTCTCAAACGTTTGTTCTTACGCAAATGCGTCTAAAAAACATACCCTATAAATAATTACTTTGATTCAGGCAAAAATGAGGCTCGGGTGTAGGTGTGGATGTGTTGAGGAGAGTATTCACATCTACACCCTACCCACACCCCACACTAACGCCCAACTATTACATGACGTACCAATCCTTTTCAAGAAACAACAAGTGGCCTAAAGGCCGTCAGAATAATATGAGATGGTTAATGCGAATTTCTGTTTACGGATCATAATATACAAATAGATACTTCGAATTGTTACCGCAGAAAATATCAAACCAGGGAACTTTCAGTGATTTGTTGGCGATGGTTCGACATTCTATACACAGTCATTCACACGACTTACGAGAGATTGTTCTAGACCTTGGCAATAACCTGTACTTCTCGTTAGGAAAATTTTCGTTCATTCTTGTTGTTCATTACAAAAACGTAATACGAGAGCTTATTATTTGCGCTATGAGAAAAGATGTTTGAAGAACTCTTATTTTAATGATCACCGATAAAGTACGCGTTTATTTTGTTCTATGAATTATTCGAAAAATCGAGAAAATTCAACGCAACAAAATGGTGAAATGTGAAAAAATCGAAAGTTCTCAAAATTGTTTCCACAAAAGGAATGATTACAAATCAAGAGTCACGATTTTATACGCAAGAAATATTTCATAAAAAGAGTAGTTGAGCGCATGATATGTTGTTTAGATACGTTGAATAGTACTAAAAGCAGCACGTAAATCATCAGTAAACAGTTCAGGGTTTTGGAAAGTTGTAGAATGACATCCTTTCTCATGTTCTTTTTAATAGATTAAATTTGAATATTTTTATTCAGCCCAACTTTTAGGTGCTCGATAGATTTCACGTGGAAAGATGCTGGTAGTGACAGGTAAGTCAAGTTTTGGGTCTGCAAAACGTACTCTTCTAGCAGGCTGTTGATGTTCTCAATAGATGCGAGCCGATGATGCGCCACTATTCGTCATCTAATATAGAGTAATATTGTCTAGCATTTCATTGAGTTCAAGATCATTCTCAGGATTATCATTATTATCTGTCCATGCATAAAGTTTCTCATATATCCACATTGCTAGACCGACTGGTGAGTCACAAAGTGCATAGCCGATTGTCTGAGGTCTTGTCGACTGTTCTTGTAAATATCCTAATCCATCTGTAATAAATTTATTAGCAATCTCTACTGCTTGTTGTTCTTCATGCGAAAGTATTTCAGGTATTTCCTCTGGAAAAACTAACTGAAGATTGAGATGAATAGCAAGAAGTCCTGGTGGATGTATTTGACCGAGCATTGTCGTTATGCTAGCTCCCAATCACCGCCTTGAGCAACCTAGTGTTTGTAGTCAAGACGTTCCATGAGTACAATCCATGCCTTAGCAATACACTCGCTATTCCAGCTGGTTTCTCTCAGCTTATCACTCAATGCAAATCCAGGAAGAGAAGGAATTACACGTGAGAAGCATCTTCAGCTTTGCCTCCGAATGCCGTGGAATCAGTAAGTAATGGAATTGTACGAAGAAATTCGATGAATGAACCAGGTCATCCATGCGTGAGAAGTAAAGGTAGAGCATTGTCGTGTTTTGATTTAACATGAATAAAATGAACGCCAAGACTGTCGATTAATGCTCGAAAATGAGGCAATTTATTAATTTTACTCTCGAAACGACCCCAGTAATCGATCAGTGTTCGAGCTTTGGCAAGAGGTACACCTTGTGATCAATCAGTTACAGTCTCACGCTCAGACCAGCGCGCTAGATCGAGACAATGTTTTAAATCGTCAAGAGTCGATTGTGGAATATTTACGTGAAATGATTCGATAGTGCTCGAGGCCGCCTTCGTTTCGGATATGCTCATCTTGAAAGGATCTAAAAATTGTTCGATAAAATTTCAATGATTATTCTTATGACAACAAAAACGATATGTAATGCTAGTAAAGACGCAAACGCACTGTTTATGCACGATGGTATGGTTTTGTTTTGTTATCAACTCTCGCATGGCTTCAGTCATCTCAAGTTATCTTCGCAAACATTCACTCATATGTCTGTCGATGAAGAAAAGAATCATCATTTTTTTCTTCGTGGAGTGCAGCTGTTGATTTGACTGTGATTGTGCGCGTTGGTATCCGTGGATGGAGGTGTTGGTAGAAGCTTCTGCGTCAATGAACAAATAATATTCACACACGCACATGAACACCTCATGTCCTAGAGGATGTGGGTGTGGGTGCGGGTGCAAATGTGAGTGAGAATGTAAAGTGCATGAGTGTCCACACCCGCGCCTAATCACCCACACAGAAAGCAAGAATTGATATCTATTGAAGTACATTAGAAAAAAAGATTCATTTGATATCATGATTGTATGTTTTTTTCTTTGACAATGAGCACATTTATGTAAAACAGAAAGCCAAAACATGATTACAAAATATTTTTTAAGATTCAAGTTTTTTGTTTCAAAAATTTACAATAACTTCTTTATATTACTGATATTGTTTCTGTTACTTGATTCTTATTTATACAAATATATAACATTTAATAACTCTTACAAAAACCAGCACCTTCACATTATATTAAATCATTACAGTTATTTACACTCGTCATATCGAATACTAACTGACTCAATAAAATAAGAAGTACAAAACAAGAAACAATTTGTTTCTTCCTACTAACTTTCTATGAATTGAGATGCAATCATATTCGCATTGTTCGTCGATATTGTCCGATAGTCTTTCGAAATACTTGTTTGTAAAATACTGATGGAAAAACAAATACTAGAAAAGTTAGCATAGATGGAACAAATGAAATAAAATATCCAATAAGAAATAGCCATGAACCACTAGTTGACTTCATACAACCTCCAATGAGAGAAATAATTAGGCGTGGCAAAGCAAGAATGACAAAAAGAAATGGGGCGATTACTAAAAGTATGTGCTGTTGAAATTATTTACGCAACAATTTTTTAAAACTTTGATGTTTTTGTATAGCTGTTCGTTGTCGAGTAATCATTACAATAATAGTAATAGCTGATATAATATTAATGAAAAATGAAGCAAAAAAATGAAACATAAGTATGAATGAATTGAATGCTCAAAGATTGGTTGAATAACTAACAATACATCAGATTCTTTTCTCATCAACATCATCATCAATCTCATCCATTAGACGTCGATGAATAGGATCATGAATAGTTGTGCTCGTAGTCATAAAGAGAAGAATAAGAATAATATATTTAGCTATTTGTTTGCTCTTTTTTTTGATCAAAACTAGTTCCTTTTATTATGGTAAGGGTGTGGGTGTGGGTATAATTCCTCTATGTACTCACACGAAACACCCACACCCAATTTGTGATCATCTTTGAAGCAAGTTGAACAGATGATTCAATTTTCTCGGCGTACATTTGAACACTCATTGAGAATCATGTTTTACAGAAGTACTAATGATTATAGTACACCAGAAGCTTCACTTATTTTTTATTGTGATTCAGAAATCAGGATGATTAATCAAAAGACTGATTTGATTCGTGCAATATGAGAGCAGTGAACAATGACTGAAGTCGTTACAGTTGATGATTCAGTCTGATCATTTAGATCAGTACAGGTAAGGAAAAATCCTATTCGTTGCAGCACTGGTCTACGTTACTAATATGATAGTTAAAGTCTTTCTAGAAAAGAAGCTGCTGAATCTGACATTGTTATATTTGCCTACATATGTTTGCATATGTGTTGTGTAGTTAGGAAGAATGCGTATGTGCATGGAGAGTACTTCAGAATTATTTTTTTTTATTTTCTTCTTTATTTCATGACAGTCACGAGTAATGTTCTGCAAATGCAGGGTGGTTTGTATTCCGTCACTTCCTATCACAAAAATCATACGCACAAAGCAGTATCAATAAGAAGGAAGCTTGACATTGAAATTATTCATTTTCATTCTTACATTTTCCAATATGAAATGTGTACAAGTCTATTTTTTCGATTACTTTTTTTTAGTAAGGATCTTTTTCATTTTAAGTATAAACATCTCAGGTTCATTACGTCAAATAACGGTAATTACAAAATCCATTGTTTGATAGTCACTTAGCTATGCTTATACAACACAGTAAAAAACCGAAATACTTACATAAACATCAATGGTAAGAGCAGATTGTAGGTAGCGTTTTCACCTTAAAAATACTCGTTTTCCTATTTTTGAAAATGTATATTGATCGTTAACTAAAGTTATTATCTTTGAGAACGCATGCTTATTCCCCTGATTAAACTCTCCTTCTCTTAAAACGTTCAGAAAACAACCTCAATAACTAATGCTGTTAGGTAATATTTGAGACTTATGGCATACCTTCAATCTTGGCAACTCATTTCAGGAAGTTTTATCGTCATGTCCCGAAGTACATACTCTGGTGCTTGTTCCACTTTTGATCTATTTTTTGTGGTGCCCATCATCAGTGAAATTCGAAATAAGACTCACATTGTTCAGATGATGAATTCAAGTATATTTACTAAGGTTGGGAAGAGTTACATCTCGTATCTAGGATCTTCCCACCTTTGTATTCTATGACACATTTCGAATTTTCCTAACCTGCTCTAATATATATTGGCGTTCGTTCTATTCTTACGTGTTATCAGATATTGTATTCATGGTCTTGCTCCGTGACCATTCTTCTTTCATCATGCTTGTGTTTGACATTATAATCAAGATATCACTAATAAATTGAACCCACAAACACCCAGCATTTATACATATCCACACTTAACAGGAACGAATGTTAGTTTAACTAGCAACGTCAAAATTTTCCATGATACGTACACAGCTAGACGATCGATGTAGATGAGTATCTTGCAAATAGAAGCCATAGAGTATACAAATAGGCACTGATACTAATCCAATCCTTTTGCAGATAAAGTGAACATATAGTCTCGTTTTATTTTCAACGCTTCTATCTAACTCATATATTGACTACAGAAAGTCATTTATCAATTTTGTATCATTTCGTCGATATCGATGGGAAGCCGCCCTAGCGTATCCACATCAAATGTTTCAATACAGCTAAGTGAAGATAGCAAGAAAACGTACCAAACGGGTGACTCAATATCTGGTAAAATCGAGTTTTTCAACAATGCTCCTACGGAATTACGATTCAATAGAATGAAGGGTATTTTCGTTGGTGATTGTGTTTATTTCACTTATTCTTCGAATAGTCAGACGACACAAATAATAACGCATATGGAACCATTTTTTGTCGTACCACTCATTTCAGGTCTGCTATGTGAGCAGGGTCAACATGCTCTTGCACCTGGCAAACACGATTGGCCATTTAGTTTCTCTCTGCCTCATTACCTTCCATCTTCAGTTGCACAAACCCATTCTGAATCTCAATATATTCAATATTCCATTTATTTTGAAATCATCCGATCAGAAGGAAGCAGCAAGAATATTCGAAAGAAGTTCATTATTCCCGTTCAGCGTGCCTTCGAGACTTTAAATGGAACTCAAGTCGAGGATCAAAAAGAAAATCGAAAAGGTGTTTGTCTACGCTGTTATCTCGAAAATAATCTCGTCGTTGCTGGAACTAAGTTGACAGTTAACTTTGAAGTCAACAATCTAGGTAAAGCCACAATACATCAAATATCGGGTACTTTGATTCAAAATCGACAATTCTCTTCTGCTCGGAAAGAACAATCTATCATAATGTCTGCCAGTAACAAGAATAACCAGATACTGAAAGGCAATTACATGCACGGTAAAATGACATTTAAGTTGCCAAATACGCTTCCAGCTACTTACTCATGTCATCCTCCTTTCTGGCCTACTGGACACCAAATTCTAATAGACTACCAAGTTCAAATCAAACTTCACCTTTCTGGATTTCACACGAATATTCAAATCGAACTTCCAGTAATTGTCACAAAAATAAATGAGACAATTACTGATGCTCCACTTAACCATGAATTGATTGTGTTAACTTCAGAGTGAAACTTAGCTGCAACTTTGAATAGGATTATACAGAGAATGGGCGAGCAGGATGGATCGCTTGAAAATTTTTACATTCACGTTCGAATTCAGACCTACACCTATATCCCCACTGTACCTAATAATCAAGTTCTCATTTTCGACACATTTTATTCAAGATTTATTCTCTTAAACAGCTCAAAATCAACGAACTCTTCTTTCTTTTTTCATTCTTTCTATGAATATCTCATTAATTGAATTTTTTTTATCACAACTAAGAAAGAAAAAGCTTCTACTAAAACTTATTTTTCTTCGTGTTTTGTATAATACTTTGACTATGCCATGAAAGAACCCAG